TGGGTGATGGGGCTGTGGAACGGCTGCGAGTACTTCGTGCTGGCGCCGGAGCGCGTGGCGCTGTCCCCGCGCGTGCCGCCCCGGCGCGTGGGCATCTTCCTGGACGTCGAGGCCGGAAAGCTGGCCTTTTTCAACGTGTCCGACGGATCCCACATCTTTACCTTCACCGACGCCTTCTCGGGGCCGCTCTGCGCCTACTTCAGGCCCAGAGCCCCCGACGGCGGCGAACACCCGGACCCGCTCACCATCTGCCCGCTGCCCGTTCGAGGGACACAGGTCCTCGAGGAGGACGACGGCGACACCTGGGCGCAGCCCTACGAGCCCTCGGCCCCCGCGCTGGGCCCGTGGTGAGGCGCCCAGGGCCGCGCGCTGGGTCCCCGACGGACGGGCCCAGAAGGGGACAGAGAGAGGGACTTGGCCTGTGTAGACGTGGGCGTGTGTTTATAATTTTCTTTAAGAAAAAGCGGCAATTCCGGAGCTCGTCTGTGTGTCATAGGATTGAGCAGAAGGGTCGAAATGTGTTGATGCCGCCTGGGCCCGGGCACGCCCTGAGGGGGGGGACTGGGGGGGGAGACATGTGGTTGGATTAAAGGCATCCGTTCATTCGCATATTGATATACGGTTTTGTGTCTATTTTCTAGTTCATAGGAAATGATCTCACCTAGGGCTCATATCCCAGTTTTATTTTTTAAAATATATCTTTATTGATTTCAGAGAGAGGGAGAGAGAGAGAGAAACATCAATGGTGAGAGTCAGTGATGAGCCCGCAACCCGGGCCTGCGCGCTGACCGGGAATCGAACCCCGATCTCCCGGATCCTGGGTGGAGGCCCAGCCCCCCTCCCCCACCTCCCTGTTTTAAATGTCAATTCCACTGACATGACCGTGCAAAACGGCTCATCCCAGGGCTGGGAGAGAGAAAGCACAAGGTGAATCTGGACCGCTTTGTGCCTTCAGGTACAAACATGCTCAGAAACGGACCGGGACACAGCCAAAGGACACGGGAGCTAGGATGCGGAGCCCCGCCCGCCAGTCATGGGACAATTGGGCCCCCAAAGAAAATGACAACAGGAATGACTAATGACAGGCACTGCTCAAGGAGGGGTTGAGCAGGTAAATTTCACCAAATGTGCTGAGGGTCAGGTTTCTCAGAGAAAGAAAATACAAAAAATACAGAAGGGGTTCAGGAGAGAGTGAAAGGATGACTCTGAACGCAGGCTTCTTACTCATTCCGTGTAGACAGAGGGAACTCACCTGGCCCTGCATGAGGGGTGTATGTGTGATATAATATTCAGGAAAGGGAAGTTTTATTTTCTATAATCATTTGCATTAGCATGCACATATTTGAGGTCCTATTCACAAATGTTTTTGTAACGTTAAATATATGTTCCTCGATTGTATGCAACCATTACCTACTCCTTTAAGATAATTTTTATGTATTAAATAGGAAAAGGAAACATATAGCTAATACAAAAGGCAATATTAGATTATTTTAAAATAACGAATCATTCCATCAGTGCATTTTAAATAACAGGAAGCCAGGCCTTAAGGTTGGATGGAACCTTATTATGGCAGCATAGTAAGTAGCTAGGAAAATTCCTGGGTAAGTGAACCGGAGAAAATGAGACCAAAAAATTAAACACGGCCAAACAGTTTGGGCAGCTTGCAAACTGCAAGACCTTATCTTCCCCAACCAAGGTACTTGAGAGCAAATGGTTTATACCCTCCTCCCTAACCAGAGAATACACAGCGTAAATCACCCTGGCCTGGGAAAATAAAGAACAAAGACCCAACTAATGCCATTTGTGCCAGCTAAACCCAAGGACAGATATCACTTGGAAGTTGTTACGCAGGAAAGATAGCTGCTAGAGCATGAGGAGGGGAAGGAGGGAAAAAAGGGAGTTTATCTCACCCACTAAACAAAGAAGTCAGCCATCCTAGGACTTGCCAAACAAGATGACCAGATGTATATACAAACACCCCAAGATAAGCCATAACAATGTACAGTAGAAGGGGACTTGGAAACTTAGTCTGCTTCCCAAGATATCTAGCAGGGGAGCTTTGAAACCTATAGGGGGAAGGGTATAAAACCCCTTGAACACCCACTAGGTGAGGCGCTCAGACTAGTTGAGTTGCCCGCTTGTGCTTTATGCCAAGTGTATTAATAAATTTGCTTGCTTTGCTTTCTGTCACTCATCTGAAATCTTTCATGTGAGATTGGCAAGAGCCGAGGAAGGGACAGCCCCCACCCCTCCAACTCAGGGGGCTGTCTGGTAACATTAACATTCTGCTACTTATTGTGTGAACCATAAAGACTGTGCTGGAGGCCACCCAGGAGGCCGGACCACTCAGAGTAGACACTTGTCTCCTTCCAGCTCTGCTCCATGACCCTCTGACATGTTTATAAAAATAGCACATGATATATTTAATTTTTCCTACTATAGTAGGAAAAATTCCATGCAGCTATCCCTCAGAACTGTGACAGGTGAATTCAGCACTTAGGTATAGACCCAATCCAGTGTACAAACACAACTGTGATATGTCTGGTTGTGAGGCTTCTGCTTGAGGCAGCCAGGGGACAACTAAAGCACAAAGGCTATCAGAGCTCAGAGAGGACCTTGACCTCAACTGGGAGGGTGGGGGGAACAAATCGAGTTATTATTGGCCCCACAGGAATCTTACATGCAAGACAAAGATCCCCGTGAATCAGGCACTCCCACATATTGTTGGTGGGCTTATAAACTGGTGAAGCCATTTTGAGGTTAATTTTGGTAATGTCAACCAATTTCTAAATATGAACATCCTCTGAACCCAAAAGTTCCACATCTAGGAATCTGTCCTACAGAAATGTTCACACGAGCATCTAAAGATACAGAGGATGTTCACTGTGTCGATGTGAAAGCAGAGGTTGGAAATCATCTACTTGCCACTAGAACAAATAAACAAAATATAGCCTGTTCATACTATGGGGCACTATGGCCCCATAAATTTTTATTGTGTACATCAATTTTTACAGGGAGCATGTATTGCTTTTGCAATTAAAAAAGTTAGTCAATGATTCTTTTCTTTCTGCATCATGTCAATGGGAAACAACCACAAGAAACTCCCTATAAAATATACAATGGAAGCCATCTGGTTGAACAGTCTTAACACTCAGGGGGAGTGACATGACATGTTTTTATGTCTTTTAGAATGTTCAAGTCACTGCCTTTGATTGTCTCTGCAGAATCCTTTATTGTTCCTCGGTAGCATCTTGGGTAGAGCCCATAATGTTCATATAACGTTCATTGTTAAATGATCTGTCCAGTTTGCAAACTCTTATCTCATATTGAATTCCAGCCCCCATCAGGTTGGGGACCTGCAGTGAAGAAGGGTCGTCCTGCTTCTGGAAACCTCTTCTACCTCCCTCTGACAGGCTCTTTCTGTTCTCTCCGCACTGATTCGAAGAGAGATGCAGCCACAACCTCCCAGTGGCCTCCCCACTGCTCAGTTCCCCCAGTGTTGGCTGAACACCTCACCTCTACTCCATCTGTTCACACAGGACACCCCAATGCTTCTGTGATGCTTGGCCCCTCGCCTGCAGACAGAGTGCTTGGGAAGGATGCAGCAAAGTGGCTCAGTTTGGCCAGCTTTCCAGATGATCTTTGACCCCCAGGAAACTACCACCTGTGTGTGTGCCTTGTTGAGTGGGGGTTGGGTGGGCTCTCTCCCAGTTTTCTCTTCCTTTGGGCAGATCAACAACCCTATCAAACAAGATACCAAGCTCCTCTTCTTGCAGAAATCCCCCAAAGTTATATCTGATTCTTTTAGGGTTGGCTTAGGGTAGTGGCAAGTACCCCACCCTCCTCTCCATGAAGGGCAGTAAATTGCTTCTCACCATGAATGTTCCACTCCCCAGGCCTCCAACTGACTCCAGTCGCCTTCCATCTTCTACTCCTAAAAGGAAATCAGCTTATTTTATTTTATTTTATTTTATTTTGGTATTGATTTCAGAAGGAGGAACAGCAAGATAGAAACATCAATGATGAGAGAGAAACATGGATTAGCTGCCTCCTGTATGCTCTCTACTGGGGATCAAGCCCACAACCCAGACATGTGCCCTGACCAGGAATCAAACCATGACCTCCTGGTTCATGGGTTGATGCTCAATCACTGAACCACACGGGCAGGGCAGAAATCAGCTCCTTTTTTGCCACTTATTTCACATATTTATTTATTTTATTTATAGCTTATGGTCAATGCAAATCAACTCCATAAAGTAAAAAAGTATTTAAAAAATTAAAGCATAATTATGCAAAAAGCATAAAAGCAGGTTCATAGGCACACATGGCAGCGTGAGATCTGGCAGATATTTCAAAGGACAACATTCGCTTTTCTCTTGAAGCCTTGGCCACATCAGACACGAGAGTGCCTCAGTGCGTGTTCATGTGAACCAAAATTTATATCTAAAAATGTTTTCCGCATTGAAACTGTTGTAAAAGATACACTTTCCAGAATGAAGTCTCCTCTCAGGTTTCACATCAGTTTCTAAAAAGGACTGATTCAGAAAGTGCTCCAAATGTAATTATTCTGATTCTTAAAGGTTAAAGCAAGTATTTTCAGAAAAAAATTAAAAGAATTATTGCAAACTTAATGCTGGTGCCTCCCAGCCCTACTCCAGCATGGGGTCATCATCTCTGGTTTTGCTTGTGCAGCTCTGGGTGGGGCCTGTGCCACCACTCCCACCATTCTCCTTGCTTCCTTCCCAGGCTCCACTGGCAGCTCCACCCTGGCTCCAGGCAGCCTTTTGGCTGATGACTGTACCTGCTTTCAAAGTCCTGGCCTGGAACTCCGTCCCAAAGGGGCCAAGGCTCAGGAACACCCCCATTCTGATGAGACTTGGAGGGCTCCTCCTCCAGCCAGCGGACCCCTGCATACTGGCTGCCACAGTCCACATCAGGCTGGGGAACTCTTACTGTCTTTGTCTTTCCCAGCAACAATTTGGAGATTTTGTAGATAAAGGTCCAGAACCACGTCATTGTATCTGTCACTGCTGCTGCCTCCCTGGGTTAGTCTCCAAGCCTCCCCTGGCAGGTGAATTTGGAGAAGAGCTAGTCAGCGAGAGACCTTCGAGAACCCTAGGACTGGGAAACAGAAGCAGCAGGTGAGCTGAACAGCATGGGGGTGGGGGTGGGAGTGGGGGCTGGCTGGAGTCCTCATTGGGCCTGAAACTAATTTCAGGATGGTGAAGCCAAACAAGTTGGGGCCCAGCTCTCATCTGCCTTCTACTAACCTGCGAGCCCACGACCTCATTGTAAGGCCAGGTATGTACTTGCTTTTTAAAATTTTTTAATTGTCACCTTCTTGCTGAACAAGTTGCTCTCAGTAGGTCTAAGAAGTAAGAGAAGGAACCAATAGCATTAAAACTAAGCAAGGCCAACGCAAGGAAATGGGTTGTTTAAGTGGAATTAGGTCCCTCTGTTGGCGTTTCTGGGAGGAAACCTGAGATGCAGGAGAAAGGGAGTCC